CTCTTTGTGCAGCAGAAATCACCACAGTCCCCTAGCAGGGTTTGATGTTTGGGGCTGGATGATTCTTGGCTGTGGGGGCTGTCTTGTGCTTAGTAGGTTGTTTGGTCTCTAGCAAAGTAGCATGCCTGGCCTCTACCCACTAGGAGCCAGCAGCGCCCCCTCCATTTGTGACAATCAAAAATGTCTCCGGACATTGCCAAACGTTCCCTGAGGGCTCTCTTGCTCTCTCTCTCCCCCTCCTTCTCTTTCACACACACACCCCAACCAGTCCATAACTATAGCCCTAAAAGATGTATGCTATAGTGAACTTTGAACTTTAACATCAGAAGGAAGCAGAAGGTCCTTAAGTGGGTCCCAGACTGAAGAGACACCCACCTCCCCACCCCCCATGTGCCCCATCTGTCACATACTACTCCACATCCTACTCCTAGACCCATTCTTAATCTGTCCCCTGTACCACCTCTATATCTGCCCCACTCCCAAACACCCCCAAACAAGCCTACAATCTCTAGCTATGATACTCAGACCTTTGGTCATCCGTCCAAATGTCAGACGACTGAGACCTCAGCAAAGGCTCAGATTCGTGTGTGCTGGGGAAACAGAAAAGCATCACATGGGATAGGAGCTGGGGAGGTGGGTGTATTGGGGCAGAGCCACGGAAGGGGAAGGAAGAGTGACCTGCCATTTATCAAGCCGCTATTTCACGTATCAGGCTTATACTAGCAGTTTCTTACACATTACTGCATTGGATTTTCATAGCAACCTTTCATAAAAAGTATTTTCCCTTTTTGGTAAATGGAAACATTGAAATTCAGGGAGGTTTTGGTAGGTCACCTAGAAACATGCTAGCCAAAAATCACTCGCATCCCTGGTATGCACGCAGCTCCTCCCATCAAGAGATGGGGTCTATTTCTCCCTCTCTGGATCTAGATTGGCCTTGTGATGTGCCCTGAGCAAACAATGTAACATTCTGGGACTTCTGAGCCCAGGTCTTAAAGGGACCAGGAGCTTCTGCTTTCTCTCTCTTGGAACCCTAAAGTCGAGGTGCTGTGAGGAGGTCCAAGTAACCTACCCAGAGAGGCCACATGGACAAAACCAAGACTGTGGTCAACAGCTCCATCCCAGCCACCAGCTGAATGTAGTAAAATGCATGAACCCAGACAAGACCAGCAGAAAAATCAGTGCTAAGAAATAATACACTCATATGTGAACTAACTTGAATTTAAATAAAATTTCGAAAGACAAAAAAAAAAAGAAATAATACACTCGTGTTTGTTTTAAACCACTAAGTTTTAGTGTAGTTTGTTATGCAGCTATTAATAACTGATACAAGAATTAAATAATTTGCTCAAGATTATACATCCAGAAGCACAGAGGAATCAGAATTTTATATAAGCTTATTTCTATCAAAGCCTCTTTTCTCCCATGAAGGTACACTAATTTGTCCTCTAAGACGTGGAACTATCTACTGGGTTGGGGTGAAATCATGTGTGAGGGTTAACTGAACACAAAGGATATCAAAGAACTCAACAGTTGACAATAGGTATACCTCCTAGTGAAAAAGTAACAAAAGAGTAACTATGGATAAGATTTGACTATGGAAAAGTTATACTCATTAGCTCCATTTGTGGAAACTGTTGATATTGATACCTAATCTATATGCAGCACGTATTATTTAAATATAATTAATAATGGGGTGGCAGTAAATTCTAAATATGTACACGTCTATTTCCAAGTTAGCAACTTTGACCTTTGAAAAGGAAGAGGAAACATTGGTTCATAGGTTAATCATATGTATATGCACCTCAGTATTTTTAGCACCTGATGGCAAAGTCAGAATGCTCATTTCCTATCTTCCGTAATCATTATCCCTATGGCAAGGGGAAGGCAAGACCTGTTGGGTCCTCCCCACAGCACACCCCACCCCCCAAGTAACATTCAAGCTTCCTCCATTCAAGATCAGAGCTAGAAAATAAGGAAGCCTAGGGTCCTAGGCTTAATACAGCCCCTGACTTCGAGTTTGAACACACTAAGAGCAAATGAGATCAGACCACTCCCCGAAACTCAGGTCACCTCGCTCACTGTATAATCAAACTTCTGTGGATCAGGTCCTTAATCCCATCAGTGGTGTGACAGTAAATGGTAAACATTCAATAACTGCCTCTTTTGGAGGAAAAAAAAAAAAAAAAGCTCTGATGTACAGCATTTGCTGTTTCTGTGGTATCCATACTCCCACCATGGCCAACTCCAACCTACCAACGTGACATTCACCAGCATGCCAAATTCATGAAAAGTTAACACTCAGCTCTCTCCTGTATGACCAGCCCCAGCTCAGCACTGACACCCCACCCACCCATGTGCACAATATTATATCCATTAGGATTCTGTTCAGCTGTCAGTGATAGAAAGCTCTGAAAGATAGTGGTTTAACAGAGGAATTTATTTCCTCTCTTTTATGTAAAACAAGTCCAGAGGTAAATCACCTCGGGCTACCATGGTAGTCCCATACCATGACCCAGAACTTAGCCTCCTCTGCCTCTTGGTTCTGCCGTCCCTAGGAGACGGCCCTCCTCTTTATGGTTGGAGACACCTACCCATCCAAGTTTGAGTACGCAAAATGGAAGACATTGCAGAAATATACGCCTGCTCTTAAGGGGGCTTCCTAGAAATTTCACCAAAGATTTTGTGATGTCTCATAGGCTAAAACATAGTCACGTGGTTAGATCCAGCTGCGAGGAATCCTGGGAGAGGTAGTTTTTTAGTTGCGTGCCCAGGTGAAAGTCAGCATTCTGTTACTATGAGGGAAGAAGGATGAAGTAAGAAACTCGCTGTCTCTGCCGCCGCAGCCACCACAGACACGGCTGCCATTTATGGCTCTGCCCGCGTCTTACACCAAGCTCTTTATCCATGTTATTTCAGGGTTTTTTGGCCACAGTTCTCAAAGTGTAGTGGTACCAGAGAAATGAATGAATACAGATGAGCATCTTTTAAATTTTTTTATTTATTTTAATGTGGGGGAAAAAAAAGTACACCAAATGTCATTTCAGATACTTTTGCTTAGAATTAGGGTAAGGTAGGTAATAACTTTTTAACTTAAACGGGTATTAAGTTCCAGAAAAATGAAGTAAATAATAGTATGGGTGATCTGAGGATGGGGGGGAAATTCTTAGGGTAATGCCCCCATGCCTGAGATTTGAGGAACACTGAGATAGCTGTCATTGTCCCCACTTCCCAGAGGAGGAGCCTGAGGCTCACGGAAGTGACGTAACTTGCTCAAGTTCACACACAATTATGTCGGTAGGTTTGACAACCTCACTTTTGAACAATGACTAACATCCCCTAATATTGCATTTGAGAATAACTGTGATGCAAGTTCTAGTACTTTTGATAAAATCCTTTTCTATACACATGTAAGTTTTAATTTTAATCTTTTTTACGTAACTATGAACATAAGGTTATATAAATGCAGCTAAATAATGTATATATAAATTACATAAATTTATATATAATGCAACTAAAAACCCAATTTACTAATACTTTTCGGAGGATTCTGTGGGGTGTCTCCAGGGAGCCCAGTGTCTCCAGAGATGATACCTGACAACGGCTATCAGCTCACAAAGTCCTCTTGATGTCCTTCGGGGCTGGATTGCACAACAAACAATGGTGATGCATTTCTTAAAAATTAGAACAGATTCTGGGAAATGGAGGACAAATTAGGGGAACGCAATACATTACTAACACAACTGATGTAACACAGCATGGGCCTAGGGAAGAAAACATAAATTAGAGTAAATAAGTTATTCTCATGTAACTTTATTTGGAAATAAGAGACTTATGAACATTAACATGCAAATTCATGCCAGATATGCAAATTGTGTCCAAATATATGTAAAATGTGCCCACATATATGCAAATTTGTTTTCTAAGCTAAGACCTCGGAAAACAAATATACATATATGTATGTGTATATTTTCTTTTTTAAATCGACAGTAATTCTGTCGCATGTCACAGTTTTCCCATTCGTGCCTTACCAGCTTGTCCTTTATACAGTGCTAAAGGCAGCTGAAACACCGGCAGGATACAGCGTCTGAAGTAAGCTACGGGGTCTGAGTGACCAAAAGACCACACACTGTTGGAGGTCTCAGGAACTCTGGACAGTCCCTGGAGGTGAGGCCTCTACACTCAGAGAGGGGGAACAAAGCAAGGTCGCAGATCATCCTTGTCGGTGGAGCTTCTTTCAAAGTAGACAGATGCCTTCTATCTGTCCAGGTTTGTTTGTGTACCATTCTGTTTGGCGGAGAGAGAGGGATGGGACAAGGGTTCAAGGTCCCTTGGCCTCTAAGAGTGGCAGAAGCCTCCAGATCAATCTGTTTTTCACTGGTGGGTGAATGAACCTAGGATTGATATACTGACAGGGAGGGTGTGGGAGATGGAGGGAGGTAACATAGGAGGGGGATTGCTGAAGGGTGGGACGGAGGTAGAGGGGAATATTTCTGTTTCTGGTTAACACTTTGTACTGTATCATTATAGGGGGGGAAATGCAACCTTAAAACAGCCTCAACTAATTGTGAGCGGGGATATGTAAAATGATATGATACTGCTTGGCCTCTGGATAGTGCCCTGCTGTATTTCTACATGTGACATGTTATAAATAAGGCCCAAACCAAACCATAAAACTTGAAGAAAAAATGGGGAGGAGAGAAGCTGTTGTTCATGCCTAAAACCCACCCTGTGCACATGCAAAACAGATGAGCTAAGAGAGACCCAGCTCAAAATCATCTCTTCATAATGTAAATCTAAGAATGGTTTCCAGATGGAATCTGAGATACATAGCTTATCATTACATCAAGGAGTAGGCCCTCTTTTGACCACATCCAAATGAACCACTGAGCCACAAGTCTATGCATGGGCAAGTTTGGCTTTTTCAGTTTGCCTGGAACGTTCCTGGTCCTGCCACTGTGATTCCCAGACTCTCCCCTGGGCTAGTCTTTGAGATTACGTTGAACGACTTGGAACCAGGCAACATTTCAGGCTTGTGACAATTCCAAACTTCTTCCTGCCTCGTGGTAGCATCCCTCCTGGCCACCTTCCTCATTTTATTTTCCCCAGGCTTGCCAAGTGGGACAGGAAATTACATCACAACATCATGTTGCCATCTCCAAAGTGTTAGGTTTCCCCCTTCCTCTCCAACCCTGAAATTGCAGAAAACTCTAAGTAGTGGTAACCTAGGCTGGTAAGCAGCACTGGGAATTTAAGACAGATTGAGCATTGGAGAGCATGTAAAGACTTGGCTGCAAGTGACAGAAAGTTCAAAATGACAGGGGCTCAAACAATAAAGGAGCTTATCGATCTCTCCCGTAAAACCACAATGGAGGTAGACAGTCTATGGCTCACAGAGAGCCTTCCCAAAGCTGCAGAGACTCAGGATCTTTCCCTCACTGCTTCCATTTCTCAGCACAAGGTCGCTATAGCTCGTCCAGCAGAGCTGGTTGCATTCTAGACATCATATCCATAGCCCAGCCCACAATTGTGATGGATTGTTTTTAATCCAGTGAATCACCCCTTCTGTGTCTACACACCTTTGTGATGTCAAGGACACTGCCTCTCCTTCCATCAAGACCAGGAGTCTATTTCTCCATCCTTGAATCCAGGTTGACCCAATAAAGTTGGCAGAACTAACGGTGTATGAATAAGGGCCTAGACCTTACGGAATCATGATGTTTCCTCTCTCTCTCCCCCTTGAAGCCCTGAGAACACCGTGTTGTGATAAAGCCCATCTAGCCTGTGGGAGAATGAGACTCTTCGTGGAGAAGAAGCGAGGAGCCCCAGCTGCCTGACATGACAATGAGGCCCTCTTAGATCTTGTGGCCCAACTAGGACATCCCATGAGATAAGCTAAGAAACCTCCCAACTCATGGAATGGCAAAAAATAATAAATTGTAGTGGTTTGGGCCACTAATTTTTGGAATGGATTGGTGCACAGCAATAGATAAGCTGAAAGAACAGTGAACAAAAGGCAAAGAAGAGACCAAAAGCATGTGCACTGCTATCTTTGATGGAACTGTACATAAGCTTCCAGGCAACATGGCTATTTTTATGTTTGGGGCCACAGTCAGTTGCAAGGGGAGTTGAGGAGTGTGGTCTCTATCAGGGCTGCCTGGTGCCCAGCTCACAACAGTAGCAGCAATGACTATGGGGAGATCTGATATCAGGGTTAACAGTGAGCACTCTGAGATGGCGGGGAGAGTGGGAAATAGCAAATATACAGCATTTTCCATGAATATCACAGATCTTATTAAAGCTAGAAAGGTAATTTTAAGATTATTTTTCCTTTGAAATTGAAATTCTCTCCAGCTCAGAATAAGAGAAGGTAAATGAGAACACCTTCCAAAAATATGCTACACCTCTGAGACATAAAAAGAACTCAGACCTGCCATCCAGAGGAAGGGAGGGTGGGAGGAAGGCACAACTTAGTGGTAAAGATGAAGGTCACCGATGATGGGACCAATCATCCTCAGTCCATGTTGGAAAACAAGCCGACACTTAGGTGACACATAGGGAAACATTTCTGGTACTCCAGGCTCTTAGATCCTGGAAGGGGTCAACAAGTGATATTATTGGAATCTTTCTCTTGCTTTGTAAGACTTGGATAGGTTCTCAGCCGCCTTTGAGACTTTGAATTTCATTTCACCAAGTGCACTAGAGAGTGAACTGCAGAATTCTAGAGGTCTCTTTGAGCCTTTCACTCCCATGAAATAGAAAAGTCCATTTGTGAGTGTGTATGCAGGTCTATCATATGCCCAGCACAATCCTGGGCACTCTGGGGGAAAAAGAGGATAGGCATCTGCACTCAGAATGCTTATGATCTACTTAGAAAAGCACTTTTTAAAAAAAGATTTTATATATATTTATTTGAGCGAGAGAGAGCACAGTGGGGGGGCGGGGGGGCGGGCAGAGGGAGAGAGAGAAACAGACTCCTCCCCACCACCACCATTAAGCAGAACTCAATCCTAGGACCTGACTGAGATCATGACCTGAGCTGAAGGCAGATGCTTAACCAACTGAGCCACCCAGGCACCCCAAAAAGCCCTTTCTGTGGTTCTCAGCACACAAGCCCAAAGAAAGTTCTCAGAGTTGGGAGAGATGTCCCAGCTCTCCTGCACATAGCCAAGTCATGACAATAAGTGAAGTTCTCTTCTTTTACAAGAAATATCTGCCCTCGGCACAGTCCCGCTTTACTCCAATAACCTGGAAGATCCCCTAATTTACCAGGAACCCCCTAACTTTGGGGCACATGAAGACCTTTCAGGGGTACAGCGTGGATAGTCTTAAAAGAATCAACTTTCAGATTTTCAGTTTCCATATGTGCTCTTTCCTAAAGCGGTCGGGCTAAGAAGGTGCTGGAGTTCCCTATAGCCTTTCTTCACTTTGTGAAAGAAAGGCATGCCCCTCCACTCTTACACGTCTTACCATGATTCATTATCCTATGATGGGAAAACTTCAGGGCAGCCAACAAAAGGGAAGCCTCCTAGGATGAGTAATAAAGGTTCTGTCCCCCCACAGGGATTTCGGGATTTCCCTGGTTTAGACATTCACTCCTTTGCTTGTTAAGGGAAAGCCCATTATTTAAACTGGGTATTTGGCCCATTTGGGGATGTCTGAATTCACTTAGATGGTACAGCAGAGAAATGGGAATAAAAACAGCTTTTCATCGACAGACATCTCTTCTACTTTGTCACCTCTGTCAAAGAAGGAAAGAGAGAAAGAGAAGGGGGAGAAAGAGAGGAAGAAAAATCACTGTTGTTGAGGTTTGTCCTATGAGAAAAAAATCAAGAAGAACATTGGTAAGAATTATTTAATGCTAAAAAATACTTTTTTCTTCACATTTTCAAATGCAAGAAATTCTTTGCAGCTATTCTTAAGACTTATCCCTAGGAGGTATCATTAGCTGAGAAGAAAAGCATATTCAAATAGCTAAAGCCATATAATAACTATTGGTCATTTTAACTGTAACTGGAATGTCCAAGATACATTAGCTAAAGCCCTAAGATCAAAGTTTCATGTGATTTCTTTCAGATTTGCTGTGTTGTTTAGTAAAATAGTTTAAAACATCTTCTTACCAATTTGATAATTAAGATCTTATCCCAGAATAGGGAATAGAATACTTTCTATCCGATTCTATGAGGCCAGCATTACCCTAATACCCAAACCAGAAAAACACACTACAAGAAAACCACAGACCAATATCTCTCAAAAACATAGATGCAAAAATCCACACCAAAATATTAGCAAATCGAATCCAACAATGTATAAAAAGAATTATACACTCAACCAAGTGGGATTCATCCAGGCATGAAAGGCTTGTTCAACAATTCAAAAAATAATTAATGTCATCATCAACAGATTAAAAGAGAAAAATTGCACAATCTTATCAATAGATACAGAAAAAGCATTTGACAAAATCCAACACCCATCCATGACTTTTAAAAACTCAGTGAACTGGGAATAGAGGGGAACTTCCTCAACTTGATAAATAGTCCTACAAAATTCCTACAGCTAACAGCATACTTAATGATGAGAAATTCAAAGCTTTCCCACAAAGATCAGGAACAAGAAAATGATGTCCCCTCTTACCACTCCTTTTCAACATCATACTAGAAGTCCTAGCTAATGCAACAAGGCAAGAAAAGGAAATAAAAAGTATCCAAATTGGTAAGGAAGAAATAAAATTGTCTTCATTTGCAGATGACATGATTATCTATGCAGAAAATCTGAAAGAATTGACAAAAAAACAACCAAACAAAAAATTCCTATGCAATTATATGAGTTATCTATGTGTGTGTATATGTATGTATATATATATACACATATATAAAGAACTAACATGCAATTATATAAAAGTCAATCACTTGCCTATATACCAGCAATGAATAAGTGAAATTTGAAATTAAAAACATAAAGCCGTTTACATGAGCACCCCCCAAAATGAAATATTTAGTATAAATCTAACAAAATATTCTCCCTATAATGTGACTTTGAAGTTCTTCACATCAGAGCTGATTGTATTTTCCCACCCTTAAGTATGGGCTGGTCTTGGGACTTGCTTTGGCCAGTGGAATGTGGTAGAAGTGACAATGAGTCCATCTGGAAGCTATGCATGAGAGGCTTTGTTTGGTCATAACCACTCTTGCTTGGGATCCTGCCCAGCAGCCCCAGGAAGAAGCCCAGGAGAGCTCACCGGAGAGCTAGAAACCATGTGCACCAGACACAGGGCATCCCAGCTGACCAGATGGCTGGCTCCGGACCTGTGAGCCATCCCACCCATGCCAGCTGACCCCTTCTAGAACAACTCAGCCAGCCCACAGACTCTTGAGCTTATTGTTTACAGCCTGTGACTATTTGTTACACACCATTCTTGAGGCAAGAGAAAGCTAATATATCTTCTTTTGACAAATTCTCTACTATTTATTGTGATGCTAACTCAATTCGTGGGGGGGGGGGGGTCTTTTTAACATTTAGCCACTTGCCGTAGGAAATAAAACAAATATGACATTGCAATTTGCACACACAGTCTTGATAATTAGGAGACCAATAAAAGACTTTCAAACATAAAAACATATTACATTAGGATAAAAATCTGAGAAGAAATAAAATAGAAAATGGAATTCAAAGAGGAAAAAAGGAAGATGAAAAGTGTCTGAATGTTAACGATAACAGTTCATGTGATTTAAAATGCAACAGGTATAAGGGCACCTGGTTGAGTCAGTCGGAAGAGTGAGCAACTCTTGATCTTGAGGTCGTGAGTTCAGGCCCCATGTTGGGTGGAAAGATTACTTAAATAAATAAAAACTTAAAAAAAAAAGAAAAGGAAGATTAAAATGCAACAAATATCAAATCATTACCGCATTTAAATTCCATTTGGCCCATATTTTAAAGACATGTAACATTTTTACTTTAAAATGTCAACATTTTACAATATGCCAAAAATTACATCCTTGGCAACTATTTGAACTTATGATAAAAAAAAAATTGTCATAAGGTGTTGACTTACAAACATCGGGGAGGGTTTTTTTCAAAATTCCTTTAGGAGGTACGCAAGCTAAAATTCTTGACAACTGCTCTTCTAGAAAACCCACTTGCATAGTCCCTATTTAGCAGGTGAAATGTATCTATTGTGTATCTCATGTAGCTCTCTGTGTGGATGTGTAAATATAATCTTATATGCATGACATTCTTAGGCACCTATGCATACAGATTTATATCGATGTGTCATTTTAGCCAGAGCTATGTATTTCTATTTAAATGTATAGTTTCTCTGTGGCCCATCAGCCACACCTGCTATATCTTTTCGTTTTCTTGAATAGAGATGGAATGACTCTTGGTCCCGGAGATTGAAGGAAAAGGAGAGCATAGGAGCCCAGCTGGGAAGCAGAACAAGGTTATGGAAACAGAAGGGGTTTATTCCCTCAGAAGATGCTGGGATGCACGTGAACAAAAGATCTCAGTCCACAATAATTTGTAATTTGTATCTGGTTGTGCATAAGACCGACAAAGTTCCATACTTTTAAGGAACTTATATTCCAGTAGGTGTCCAGAAATCCAAAACGGAGACACACAAACAGTTCTGGAAGCCCCACCAGAGAGACTCTAGATTAAAGTTAGGGAGGACTCTGTTCCCCAGTAGTTGCTGTTCCATGCCTCTGAACCTCTCAGCACATGCTATTCTCTGCTGAGAATGTTCTTATCTCTTCTTATTATATTTCATCTTATTTATTGGAGTAGATAATATATTTACATCGTTCAAAAATCAAAATGATAAAGATTAAGGAGGGCATGTGATGTGATGAGCACTGGGTATTACACGCAACTGATGAATTATTGAACACTACATCTGAGACTAATGATATACTCTATGTTGGTTAATTGAATTTAAATTTTAAAAAAAAAAGATAACAAATGATTGAGAAGGCTTGCTCGCACTCTGACCTGATCCTCTCCTTTCCCACTACCTACCCCCCTCCCTACTGGGGAATAATCACTTTTATTTACTCTTTATCTTTCTAATCTTTCTGCAAATACAGGAAATATGGATATATACTCTCTCTCCCCCTCACTTTCCTTAAACAAAATGTAACCAACTATATATGCTCAATGCTCATTGCTTCTTTTTTTTTTTTTTCTTCACTTAATAGCATATTCTGGAGAGTTTTTTCCAGCAGTGCACAGACAGCAACCCCTTTCTGTTTCCGGCTGTGTAGTATTTCACTGTAGGGAGGTTCATAGATTATCCAGCCCTCTATAGATGGACACATGGGTTCCAGAATTCCACTCCTATAAGCAATACATCCTTCCATACTTGTGCAGGCGCTTCTGGGAGATAAATTCCCAGAAGTGTTGCCCCACCTTTCCTTCCTGGCAAACTCTTACTCACCTTTTGACACCCACGGCCCAGGAAGCCAGAAATAAGAAGAGGCTTGCCCAGAGAGCTACAGAAGTATGTCTGCTTTCTCTATTAGCTGGGAGCATCTTAAGGGTATGGATCCCTCTTTGTTCACCCTCTACACTCCTGTGAATAAAAAACAATGTTCAAACTTGGGTTTCTTAAGAAACTCTGGAAAGACAGCCTCTAGAAGAGAAGTAAACCCTTTCTCTAGGTACCAATTAGTGCTTACCACTATGAAATCTGTATTTGTATCTAAAAATTAGAAACCCAAACAGTGAAGAAATTCAGAACACACAGCAAATCCTAATGACCCACTCTTCCAGATACAATTCATTCCTTAAGCTCATGTCTTAAAGCATGAGCTTAAGATAAAAATCTTAAATATGGATGCATAAACTACATTTTGAATGTTCTTATATTGTGATATTAATGGAAGTTATCAAATGATCAAGTAAATAAGAGAAAATGCACAATACAGCTCTATAGTTATCTCAGCATAGAGAGACAAAGTATGAACAAACAAACATGTGGATTCTGTCTATATAATAATAATAGCTAATATACATCAAATATTTACTATGTGTCCAATCACTGTTCTGTTTTGAAATGTATTTCTCATTTAATGGTCTCTAAAAAAAAAAACTGCACAATTATTATTATTATTCCCAGTTTATAAATTTGGAAACTGAGGCACAGATAGGTTAAGAATCTTGTCACACAGCTAGCAAGCAGCGGAGCTGGAATTTGAAGCAATCAGTCCAACTGGAGAGTCCATGTCCTTTTTTTCAACACTGTTTGTTCTTGTGTGTGAGCGTGTGTGTGTGTGTGTACTTTCCATGGTAGATTAGTTATGAGTGGGTTCATAAGTTTCAGAAAATCTAAAATAACTGGTTTGTTACAAATACAAGTCGGTACGTCTCCCACAGTAAAGAAGACAGGTAAGCAGACCAGACTTGTAACAATGGCCACAAACCTCAGGAGCCCAGGCTCCTTATCAACATAGAGCTTCTGCATTATAGCCCAAAATGTCTACTGCACTCCAAACACCACATCCACATTCCAGCCCATGGCAAGAAAGAAGTGAAAATAAGAGTGCACCCCTTCTCTTGACTACTACTTCCCAGAAGTTGATCATGGTATTTCCACTTTCAGTTCAATGTCCACAGTTTTACCCCCTGGCCACACCTAGTTCCAAGGAAGGTTGGGGAGAGGAGCCCTTGTTCCATGGAAAGGCATGCTAAAAACATTGGTTTTCAGTACTAAGGAAAAAGCGCAAGGTGGATACTAAGGAATAACTAGCAAATTCTACTACACACAGGAACTGAGAAGCATAAAACCATGGAATCCCAGTGTGAAAAAGAGTGTTTTAAATTATCTAATAAAAATACTTCTCTGATTCTTAAGTATTCCTGTCCATTGGTGTCCCCCCGCATCACCCCCATAAAAAGAGGCCTGAGGCAACCCATTTGACGTTTGGACGTTTCCCTCAGTCCAGCTCACATCCAACTGGCCCTATGTCAGCCTCTCAAAACTAAGCCCAGTTGCCCTGATAATTCAGGTATTTGGAGAGAGCTATGCAACCCCTACCACCCCCAGACTCCTCCAAGTGCCCTCTGTGCTTCCAAAACGCCTTTTCTGTCACCTTCCCAGGGTGCTCACAGCACTCTCTAGGTGTCTAATCCAGACCTGGACGTGAAGTCCTGGGTGTGGCCTCGCAGAGTCAGAGGAGGATTACAACTATCAGATAATTGGCATCCGTGAATATACTTCTAGAACGGCTTCTCAGATTGCTTTAGGATTTTTGACGATGGCTTTACACTTTTCACTCAGGTGGTGTTTATCACCTACTCAAGCTACATATCCCCAATTTAATCTTTGCAGTTGATTTTTTGGCTTTAACATAGAACCTTATATGGCTCCCTATTTACCTTCTCTTAGGGATAGGGCCTCTTGGCTTGCACCTACAGAGATAGTTTTAAATCCTGAGTCTATCCATCCACAAATCATCTATCCCTCCCACCTCCATCTGTAATGTGGGTAATAACTCTCCGTAGCTTCACCTCTGTCAAGGAGCAGAACATTGCCCAGGGCAGGGCCAAGGTCAGTGCTACATGATATACCCCTGAAATCCTCCCTCTGGGTGACTTTGATCCATTAAGCAGCCCTTTCTGTGGCAACAAGGAAAACCGGTTTGGGTGTGCGTTGCCGCCACGGTGACATCCAAGCAGGCAGCTAAGAGCCCCTGGGACTTGGCTTTTGGCAGCATCTGCTACCAGAGCTTTTCCTTCAACAGTCAGAAGACTTCCCAAGCCCTTTGGCGTCCGGATCCAGCGGTTGGGAGACAGCATTCATTCGTGTATCTGTGCATTCATTGTCCATTTGTAAAACACCTATTGTGGTCCTCTATGAGCCAGAATGCTACTGTCTGAGAATAAAGGTCAACAGGCACAATACCTGCCCTCAAGGACCTTCTCTGCCTGATGGAAAGTAAGCGTACAGCCAGGATGACTCTATTATGACTCAAGTCAGGCCATGCCATTCCTCTGCTCAGTACCCTACACGGATTCTCATGCCTCTCAGACAAAGGCCAAGGCCCTTCTCAAGACCCTCACTGCCCTCCCCTCACTTGCCCCCTCCCACCCTCCTCCTCTCTCCACTTTCTCTCCCCTCCAGCCACACCAGCCTGGTCTTCCAACACACCAGACAGATGTGCCCTTGCCTTCCATCTTTGTATTTATGTTTCCTTGGTCTAGAATGCTCTTCCCCCAAATACCTACATGGCTTCGTCCCTCCCTTCCTTCAAGCCTTTACCCAAAACCACCTACACAATGAGGCCATCTTTGGTCACCCCATCTAGAATGTCAATACTCCCAGGGTATTTCATTTCCTCCTGCTTGATTTATTTTTTCACCTGACGGTATCTTCCTCTCTAATATTCCTAGTCTACTTTTTAATCTTGTTTCATTTCTATTTCCTCCACTAGCCTGTAAGCCTCTGGGAGCATCAGGGAGCTTTGTATTTTTTATTTTTTTTTTTTTAATATTTTTTTAAAGATTTTATTTATTTATTTGAAAGAGAGAGAGACAGAGCACAACCAGGGGGAGAGGCAGAGGGAGAGGGAGAAGCAGACTCCCCTCTGAGCAAGGAGCCCAATGTGGGGCTCGATCCCAGGACCCCGGGATCATGACCTGAGCCGAAGGCAGCCGCTTAACCAACTGAGCCACCCAGGCATCCCCCAATTTTTTTTAAAATCCAGACCTCTTAGTCGAGTGACTGATCTGTAGAATGAATGCATGCATGAATGAATATGCAATGTCAATATAACATGGTGTGTCTTATAAAGGAGGAATTCTGGAGAGCCACGAAAGCACATAGAAAAGGCTCCTAATCCAGTCTTGAGAAGTCGAGTGGCTTTCCTGAGAACTGTGGAATAAGAGTAGGCCAGGCGAGGAGCAGAGAGAAAGGTCATTCCAGGAAGAGGAAACAACTCGACTCTGGGAGGGAGGCGCAGGCGCCTGGGGAATGTGATGTGCTTGGAAGCCACATGTAGTCAAACATGGCATGGGAGCATAAGGAGGGCTCGAACCCGGCAGAAGCTTCCAGCAAACCATGCAAAGGTGTTCAGAATCCATCCAGAAAACTCAAGGAGCCAAAGAAGCAAATGGCAAAGTGCCATCACCAGATGGGTATTTTAGGAACACCAGAGTGTAGAAAACGGGTTGGAGGGGGAGCCGGACAGGGGACAAGGACACCAGTTGCAAAGATGGTTCAATAATCCCATTGAAAGAAGATAAGGATGAATTAGGGCAGGGGCTGGCAAACGTTTTCTGTGAAGGGCCAGAGAGTAAATATGGGGGGCATATTCAACTCTGCCATCGAAGCCAAAAATTAGTGAGGTGGAGTATGCCAATGAAGGGGCGTGGCTATCTTCCCAGACAACCTTATTTACAAGCCAGACCCGGCCTGCAGGCTGTAGGTCACTGACTCCTGAACTGGGCGTAATAGAGAGAAGGGGATATAAGAATGATGCAGAGGTAGAGCCAGGAGAACTGGGGGTTAACTGGCTGTGGGTGGGGGTGGGGAGAAGGAGGGCCTCCAGGACTCCCAGCGCCCAGCGCACACCCCCAGGAGAACAGGCTGACCGTGGGTCCACCTAGGCGGATCTCTGTATTCTATTTCCAATCTGAAAGACCCCAAGAACTCAGTGCAAAGTTGTGCAACGGTCCAGAGAAGAGCAATCAAAATTGGAATGATGGGGAGAAAGGTCTCCCTGGGCCTTGAATTTAGGGATTCCTCCCACCCATGCCTTACAGCAACAGCAACGACTGACCTTGCCGTCCTCCTCGGAAACGGCTCCCTTCACCTGTCGCCCACAGGCTGCTTTTTCACCCTCCTCTGCCAAGTCCCCTCGGTGATGCCCCCCATTCTCCCTCCCACCTAAAGCCTCTCCAAGGCAGATAATACTGCGGGAAGGCAGCTCAGTGAGCCCCGCTGAGAATCAGAAAGTGTCCAGGTGCAGGTGTGGCGGGAGGGAGACAGTTGCCAGAGAACAGGGTATCCCTGGAGGTGAGAGTGGTGTAAGAGGGAGAACTAGGGTGTGGCTCCTGGGTCTTTCCAGAGATGAGGAGATGCTAAATTCACTAAAGGATGCACAGAAGACAGCCGAGGTAAAATAGCAATAACGATAAAGTAAAACCAGCTGCCAAGTGACCAAGCAACGGGCTCCATGTATGACTTACTCCCCCAGTGGTGGGTGGCCCGCCTTCGCCTGGGAGGCAGGCAGGCATGTCCTTGAGCAGTGGACAGGAAGCAGGAAGAAGGCACATCTCCAGAAGTGGCTCCTTTTCAACAGTTTTAAAGGTCATGTGCTAACCTGACAGTTGCCAAGCCTCTGATGAAAACGCTCCCAGGACGCATTGTGCAAGTGAGCTCTGGAGACCCACAGCTCCGTGGGCAGAGGACGGCCTTGGATGGGGGCCTGCTCCCCGCCACGCCAGGCATGGCTGCCGCCCCCCACTTCCCTGGGCCGCCCCCCGACCCCGCGGCCCTACCACCCCCAGGTCAGAGCCCGGCCAGAAGACAGATGGCAGAGGGGCACTGAACGGGCAGCGGTGAGCGGGACCGGGCCCCGCGCCAACCACCAGCAGCCGGGCGACTTCTCAGAGCAGGTAGCATGACAGCGACGCAGCGGGCCCGCCCGTGACTTGTGGCCCACAGTGGGCTTTAGGGATTGCAGGAGCAGGCCCAGCCTCAGACGACCTTTCCCCACTGGCAGGGCGCTGGGCGGGCACGGACGGCTGCCCGCACACACGGCAAGTCTGCATGTGGTTAGAGTGTAAATGTGCACCACGGATTTGAAAATACAGCGACAGGAGGAGTAAAACCAGACTCTCTGCTTGTCTTGGATCCATTCTGTGCTGTACAGGGTTCAAAAGGAACTTACAGTGCCTGAAGAGGCCATCTGCCCCAGCCCCAGCCTCAGGGCCCGCAGGCTGAGAACTTCTGCCAGGCCCACCGCACCCGCAGCCTCGGCTCCCTCCCCCACGCCACCCCCTGCACCTGGCCCTCCTCCTCCTCCTCTCCCTCCTCCTCTCTCAGGCTGCTCTACCTGCACGGAGCTCCCTCCCGGCCTGACAGCCAGGGGCCTCCTCCATCATCCAGCCTGTCCTACAGCCTGGATCTGCCGGGCTCCCGAGAGGCGGGGAGCAGATCCAGCTGAGCAGGGCTTCTTCCCAACAGCTGAGGAAAGGCTGGAAGCTACATGGTACTGCTACACACACACACACACACACACACACACACACACTCCATACATACGGACAAACACATACACACGGGGACACACACACGGCCACACACACATACACATGCACATATACATACGCATACATAACACGGCCACACACATATACACAGACATATAAACACACATATATACGTACACACACACACTCTCTACATACATATACATGCGGACAAACATACACACGGGGACACACACACGGCCACACACACATGCACATATACATATGCATACATAACACGGCCACACACATACACATACATGCATGCACATATACATACACATACATAACATGGACACACATACACGCATGCACATATACATAACATGGACACATACACACATGCACATATACATATGCATACATAACACGGCCACACACATACACACATGCACATATACATACACATACATAACATGGACACACATACACATACACGCATGCACATATACATAACATGGACACATACACACATGCACATATACATACACATACATAACATGGACACACATACACATACACGCATGCACATATACATAACATGGACACATACACACATGCACATATACATATGCATACATACATGCACACATATACACAGACACACATATATACATAGACATACATATGCGTGCACACACAGGCACACACATATACACACATATGCGTACATAGGCACACAAGGCCCATGTACACACATATACACATACACACATAATACACAGAAACACGGGCACACATACACATGCACGCATACACACACAGACATACATACACACATATACACGGACACACACACGGAAACACACACACACACACGAACCCTTCTAGTTCTAACCTGTGCCCAATCTGGCTGGCCCGGGGGTGACTGATCGAGACCCCGCATGCACTTCCACCGACACGTCCCCGCAGACCCTGCGTCCCATGACTCCAGGGGCCCCGTGCGCACGTCAGACCGCGCCATCTCGGGGGCGGCCGGGCCCCAGCCCGGGGTCGGTTTGTGTGGCTTCTCCAAACTCCGCCCGCTCCCCCCTGGTGTGTTCGTAACTCACAGGAGCTCAGTAACAAGCAGAGCATTGCACCCGGACGACGAGCCCAGACAGCCGCCGCCGCCTTCCCCTCCTCCACCCAGGAGGATGTGCTTCCGGTTCACGCAGGGGAAGCTTCTGGAATGGGCAGGGCTCCCGGGCTGACCCGAGCTCCGCGGCTCCGACGAGCTGTCCAGCGTCGGGTGGACGTCAGGGCCTGCGCTGGCACGGCGTGAGGGCTGGGACAGTGTCAGGGTCACCGGGCGCCGCTAGCCCCCAGGCCGATCTCGGAGCCACCCAGCAAACGGCGTGAGGCCGCGCGAGGCCGGGGCCGGGCATCGGCAGGCCTGGCCGGACCACCCTGCGGGGCTCCTTCTGTCCGGGCGCCCTTGCTGAGCGAGCCGGCCGGGGCAGGGGCGGAAAGCAGGCCGCACGGCCAGAACCGGGGCCCGGCTGCCGCGGGGAGGACGCCAGGCCCCGGCTTGTGCCGGGGCAGACCCCCCACAGCCGCTCCCTTGAGAGCGCGTGCAGCCTGAGCCGGACAGCCCGGGATCCCGCCCAGGCTGGAAAGTGCACGCTCGACCCCACAGCGGGAGCTCAACAAACCTCATCCACAAAGCAAGACCGCTGCGGTTTGAGCCAGTGATCGCACGCTGTCTGTGAACAGTAAAGCGGGGTGACGACAGCCCGAACCTGAACGTGTGCCGCCGGGCACGGGGGACGGTGGCTGCCCTGCGGGGCGGCGGGACCTGGGGCTGAGGAAGGACTCTGTTGGCCCTAAAAGACCAGAGACCTCACAGACCCAGAGCCAGCATCTTCCTCCCCGTCCTTTGAAGAGAACACACGTAAAAAGTGAAAGAAAGAAACTCAAGACTTTCCCCTTCCCATTTAGAACCACTGAAGCCCAATTAGGGTCTCAAGTCTAGAACAGAGCTTATCCGTACTTTGTCTAAACCAGGGCTTCTGTTGAGGCAGGGTGAGGGGCAAGAGAGACTATCCCTCCTCCCCTATCTAGCCTGCGGCTGCAGAGTGCTCCCCCTGCACTTTCCCACGCACTCACGCACACGCTCACACGTGTTCTTACACACATACACATAGTCACACCCGCCCACACACACACTTCCTCACGCGCTCACACATGTTCACACCCACATACTTGTGCACACACGGTCACACCCGCACATGTTCACACTTACACGTTTCCACACTCTCACACGCTCTCAGCTCCCACTCTCGCTCTCGCACACCCTGATCAATGGGCGACGCTGCTGCGGACTGATGAGAACAGTAGCAACATTTGCCCCTTGATTCCACGGAATAAGTCAACCACTAATCTACGGCCAAAACAAAAGCGCAGGTGTGGTTAAAAGCACAAATGCCACGACCAGGCCACGGAAGGCGTGGGGCCCTCTTGGTCTGCCAGCCTCTTGCCTCACTCGGAGGGCAGCTACAGCCCTAAACATTGCTCATCTGCACATCACGCACCCGCTGATACTGACTGAGCCATCAAATCCGTGGTCATGTGTGAGACCAGCAGCCCACAGGATGCCCTTGTCCTCCGAGCACGAACCTAAAACTTAAGCAGAGGGAACAGCTTAACAAGGAAGGATATTCTTTTTTTTTTTTTTTAAGATTTTATTTATTTATTTTTAGGGACGCCTGGGTGGCTCAGTTGGTTAAGTGTTTGCCTTCGGCTCAGGTCATGATCCCAGAGTCCTGGGATCGAGTCCAGAATCCAGCTCAGCGGGGAGTCTGCTTCTCCCTCTGCCTGCCACTCCTCGTGCTTGTGCTCACTCACTCTCTCTGACAAATAAATAAAATCTTTAAAAAAAAAAAGATTTTGTTTATTTTTAGAGAGAGAGAAAGAGAGTGTGTGTGTGCGCGCACAAGGTGGGGAGGGGCAGAGGGAGAGAGAGAGAAAGAGAATCTCAAGCAGACTCAATCAACACTGAGCACAGAGCCCGACACAGGACTCCATCCCAGGACCCTGAGATCATGGCCTGAGCCAAAATCAAGAATCATGTTCAACCAATGAAGCCACCCAGGCACCCCAAGGAAGGACATTCCGACACATGCTACAACATAGAGGAACCTTGAACACATGGTGCTAAGGGAATATAAACAGTCACATCAGGACAAATTCTGGATGATTCCATTTATACTAGGCCCCTAGAGTCGTCAAATTCACAGAGACAGAAAGTAGAAGGGTGGTTGCCAGGGGCTGGGGGAGGCGGGAGGGGTCAGTGTTTAATGGGCGCAGTTTCAATTTTGCAAGATGAGAAAGTTTTAGAGAAGGACGGTGGTGATGGTTGCACAACAGTGTTAATGTACTTAATGCTACCGAACTGCACACTTAGAAACGGTTAAAATGGTAAATTTTGCTTATGTGTATTTTACCACAATTTAAAAAAAAATTTAAATTAGAGAGACCACATCATCCCACCAGATGAAGAGGTAAACAGTGCGGTGTGGACCATGAGCTTCCCTGAGGTTTCAGAATTCAGGGAAGTCTTCAAGGAAGAGGAAGAGCTCCCGTGGCTACCCACCCCCTTCTTAATAAGCTGTAAAGTGCTGGCAAAACGGACAATCCAGGCCAGTGCAGTGTAAAGGCTGTTTTAAACTCCAGAAAGCTCCAGTCACCAAGGCATAGCAGGGTATGGTGGGCGTGACCGTATAACATATATTCCAAGACCCAGTTCTTTTTTTTCTTTTTTTTTTTTAAAGATTTTATTTATTTATTTGACAAAGAGAGACACAGCAAGAGAGGGAAAACAAGCAAGGGGAGTGGGAGAGGGAGAAGCTGGCTTCCTGCGGAGCAGAGAGCCCAATGTGGGGCTCGATCCCAGGACCCTGGGATCATGACCCGAGCCGAAGGCAGACGCTTAACGACTGAGCCACCCAGGCGCCCCAAGACCCAGTTCTTTTGAGAGTGAAGCGGCACTATTGATAATTACAGGAGACAAGGGTATGCT